GGACTATATGCACCATTTACACCGTGTCCCACACACACCAACACCACCCCCAAAGTATCTGTGGTTTAGAGGCGAATATTTACCAATCACCCTGCATGTGTGCAGTGTTCCTTTGGAGATTATAGAAAGTTGATGCATTGCAATCTGTTGTGTTGCCACAGCACCCCCGAGGATCAAGAGTATGTCCAGTTAACAGCTTCTCCTTTAACAAAATCAAAGCTCTTTTGTTCCTTTGATCAATATAATTTTGTTTGCAGACAAGGTACTGTGCCCTTGTGCTGCTGGTCCTCAAGTCAAACCTGGAATCCTCTTTCTAGTACAGGTAGGTTGAGACTCCTGCCTCGTAGGTTAGAGGTGACCTGTCCTGTAATGTTCCTCTTTCTGGTGTAGTTTTACATGGTCCTGTACCATGACACTCCATGTTTGTGCCCAAGTAAGGAAGGGAAGTTGGGTTCACAAATTTCAGACTATCAAAAGTTAGCCTGGAGCTAGGCTGCCCTGTAGCAGCAGAGTGGTGTTGAGTTGGGCTAGATATAAATAATTGTTCCTTCCCAGGAGGGTTTTTCTATGGTCAGTACCCTTTCCTCAGCTTCACTTTTGGCTTGAAGTATAAAGTATACTTTAGTGAGCTTAGAACATGATCAATAGGGGAGGAAATGGCCTAGGGGTATTATCGCTGGACTGTTAATCAAGAGACCCAAATAATATTCTGGGGACCTGGGTTCGAATCCTGCCATGGCTGATGGTGGAATTTGAATTCAATAAAATATCTGGAATTAAGAATTGAATGATAACCACGAATCCATTGCCAATTATTGGAAAAACCCATCTGGTTCACTAATATCCTTTAGGGAAGAAAACTGCCATCCTTACCTGGTCTGACCTACATGTGACTCCAGACCCACAGCAATGTGGTTGACTCTTAACTGTCCTCTGGACAATTAGGGATGGGCAATAAATGCTGCCTAGCCAGTGACACCCTCATCCCGTGAATGAATAAAGTAATGCATATGTTGCTACAAAGGATTAGAAACATTCATTGGGAATTTCTGGTCTGTTATTGAGATATGCCTTCATAGAGCTCCGAGTGAAAACATAGCTTTCAAAGAGGTAATCACCACCACTGAGGTGGATCAATTGAGCTCCTGGACCTCCTCAAACGATCAGAAAAAAATAGTCAACCAAAATGTCAAAAACTATCCCCAAATGCCAAGACACTACACTGTCTATCTAAAAAGGAGGGCAGAAGAAACCAACCCTTGGGAGAATGAGAAATTAGAGGCCACCATACTGATTGCTATGCATCAGTCAGGTGCGTGGAAATATCCAACTGTTTCTGTTGGATCTTCTGGCAGATGTCCTAATGGAGAGCTTGTGGAACCCAATCTCTCACTGTATACTAAAAGGTCATCAATAATACTGATGGGGTATTGTTCTTCCAAATACTGCTGGAGTACAGTGTTGTAAAGGACAAATTGCAGCCAGCCCACGTAGAGTTTAAATAATTTGTTTATCTCGGTGTTGTAACACTGCCTGATGCAGACTTTGGACATAGGTTTCCTCTTACTGAGCAGCACAGTTGAATGGATGAAGGTTAGGATACTCTCCCTAATGAACACACAACTATGGCTTTCTGCTATGTGGGCAGGGCTGCCTTTCTGTCTATGAAGCTTGTTTGCACTACGTTGCAAGGCTTCTAAATAGTAGTTGGTCCAATTTTTGCACAGCTCTGGTATATGTCATAGTGCTCTTATAGCTCTGCACCCTCTACAATGGTTCTGCTCTTGTTGGCCCATATGGGGCTGAGTATCATCAAATGTATTGTAGGTTGGTTAAGGCAGAATTCATAGGTTACCTGTGTGATTTATGGTGGTGCTCTCTCTATTGGTCTGATGATCAGGTGTCCTCACAAGCCTTACCTGCTGCTTGTATTGATACAGTTCTTCTCATCGGTTTTTGCATGTTTCTTTGCAGCTTTTGCCTGGCTTTCCTCCTCCTCAGTTGGGTATGCAAATTAGCCATGAAAGTTATTGCTGGGTACTTCCTGTTCCATTTTGTGGATTTGATTTAATTTATTATTGTTACATGTGCCTAGGTACAGTGAAAAGTTTTGTTTTGCATGCAGTACATGCAGATCATAACATACAAGAATCATAGAGTGAATGAACAGAGCGAGGAATACAAAGTTATGGCTGCAAAGAAGGTGGATAAAAAGCAGGATTAGATTTGAAATTTGGGAAGGTCCACTCAGAAGTCTAATAACAGCAGGGAAGAAGCTGTTCTTGAACCTGATGGTACATGAACTTAAGCTTTTGCATCTTCTGTCTGATCGAAGAGGTTGGAGAGGTGGGAGGGGTCTTTGATCATGTTGGCTGCCTTTCCAAGGTAGCAAGAAGTGCATATAGAGTCGATGGATAGAAGTTTGGCTTGCTTGATGGACTAGGCAGTTCACAACTCTCTGTAGTTTCTTATGGTCCTGGGCACAGCAGTTACTGTACCAAGAAGTGATGCTTACAGATAGAAGGCTTTCTATAGTCCATCTATAAAATTTGGTCAGAGTCATTTTGAACGTGCTGATTTTCCTTAGCCTCCTGAGGAAGCAGAGGCATTGTTGTGACTTCTTGACCGTACCATCACGTGGGCGGTCGAGGACAGATTGTCGGTGATAATCACTCCGAGAAACTTGACACTCTCAACTATCTCCACCTCAGTTCCATTGATGAAGATAGGGGTATGCTATCCTCCTTGCTTCCTTAAGTCAATGATCAGCTCTTTAGTTTTTCTACATTGAGGGAGAGATTTTAATCTTTACACCACACCACCAAGCATTCTCTTTCCTGTATTCTGCCTCATCACTGTTTGATTTCCAGCCAATAACAGTGGTGATATTGTCAGCGAACTTGTAGAGAGTTCGGACAAAATTTGGCCATAGTCATAACTGTACAGGGAATATAGTAAGGGGATGTGTACACATCCTTGCAGGATACCGGTGTTAAGGATTGTTGTGGAGAAGGTGCTGTTGTCTATCTTCACTGATTATAGTTTGTGGGTCAGGAAGTCGAGGATCCAGTTGCAGAGGGTAGAGCGGAGACCTAGTTCTCAGAGTTTGGAGATTAGTTTGGTTGGGATTACAGTGCTGAAGGCAGAGCTGTAGTCAATAAGCAGACGTCCGACACAGGTATCCTTATTATCCAGATGTTCCAGGGATGAGTGTAGAGCTAGGGAAATGATGTTTGGCATGGACCTGTTGCGCCAGTAGGAAAATTGCCAGAGATAGAGGCAGGTGGGTAAGCTACAGTTGATATGAGCCATGACTAACCTCTCGAAGCACTTCATAATTATGGAGGTCAGAGCCACCGGACACTAAGCATTGGGGCATGTTGCATGTGTTTTCTTTGGTACCGGTGGCCTTCTTGAAGCAGGTGGGGACTTCAGATTGTAGCAAGGAGAAGTTAAAGATGTCAGCAAATATTTCCATCGGCTGGTCCACACAGGATCTGAATGTAAAGCCGGGGACTCTGTTTGGGCCAGTCACTTTCCATGGGTTCACTCTCAAGAAGGCCAATCTGATGCCCGGAGCGGTGATTGAAGGTACAGGTGCATCTGTGGCTGTCTGGGTCTGTTTCACTCACCTTCTGTTCAAACTCATTGTTAAATGCATTAAGCACATCAGGGAGGGATGTATTTTTGTCCGCTATTATGTTCTGCTTTATTTTGTGGCCCGTTATGTTGTGTAGGCCTTACCATAAATGGCGGACATCCATGTGGTTAGTTTGAGCCTCTAACTTAGTCCGATATTACCTTTTAACATCTCTAGTGGCCTTACAGAGGTCATATCTGGATTTCCTGTAAAGGTCAGGATTGTCTGATTTGAACACCACATGCCTGGTCTCCAGTAGGCAATGGATTTCCCATTCATCTATGGCTTCTTGTTGGGGAACACAGAGGCTGACTTCTTTGGCATGCGGTCCTCTATACACTTGCTAATAAAGTCTGTGATGGTGGTGGCATATTCATCTAGGGTGGCCACTGTTGTCACCATGTAAGAGTGCAAAGTCTACGGTCTTGTGAGGGAACACCAACAAGTTTTATTGAAACTAACTTTACACTGATTGGACATTTCACCTGAAGGTTGACAGCCCCAGTCTCCAGTTCCATGTGGTCTGATGTCACTGTGACATAACTACTTTTGCACATGCAAATTCCCAGGGTAAACATTTAAGTTACTTTTAACTGGGTGATGAGTAAGTTTTTCATCAAGAGTAACTCCAGGACATTGATGTTGATGGTGAGGGATTCAGAAACGGCAATGCTGCTGAATATCAAACAAAAGTGATTAGATTTTTCCCTAATCTAATTATTTCCAATTATCCCTGAAAGAATAATCCTAATTCTTATTTCCTGTCCTAGGTTCCGTTTCCCTTTCCAAAGTTTTCTCTCCTTATTCCAAATTCTCTTTCCTATACATACCCTTCCAGGTGAAGCAGCAATTTACCTGCTCTTCATTTAATCTATTCTACTGTATTCACTGTTCACTGTATGGTCTCCTCCACAGCGGGGAAACGATATACATTGGGTGACCGCTTTGCAGAACACCTACGTTCTGCCTGTAAAAAAGCAACCCTAAGCCTCCAGTTGCCGGCCACTTCAACACACCACCTGGCCAACATTTCCATCTCAGGCCTGCAGCAGTGCTCCAGGGAAGCTCAGTGCAGGTTGGAAGAACAGCATCTCATTGTTCACTTGGGGACAGGAGTTCTTCAGAACCCAGACATCATCTTCCACGTCATGTCATGACACGGGCTACTTTCAACACAGCCAACCCATTTTCACCTACTTATGCTTCCCCGATTATTAGCTTTTATTCTTCCCTGATTTACCCTCCTCCATCCATCCGTCTACTCGTCTCCCGCTGGCTTTAGTTTCTTTCAACGGTGCGCCCTTCTGTGGGCATGCGCAGTGCGGACCTTGCGCATGACGCAATGACGTTAAGGGTGAGCTTGTGCGCATTCGCAGTCGCACCGCGGGTCCGGTGACGTTCTATTACTCGCTCACCAATTAACTATTACTCCCACAGTATTACCCTCTCAACCATTAACTATTACTCCCTCTGTATTACCCACTCAACCCTTAACTATTACTCCCGCTGTATTACCAACTCAACCCTTAACTATTACTCCCGCTGTATTACCGACTCCGGCCTGATGTTACCGTTCCTGCTCCTGCTGCTGACACCGAGCCACGGGCTTGTTGCTGCTTCCAGACCTGGGGTGGTGCTGTTCTTGGCCGATGACCTTGGCTACGGCGACCCGGGCTGCTTCGGGCACCCGAGCTCCCAGACCCCGAACCTGGACCGGCTGGCGGCGGAGGGCCGGAGATTCAGCGACTTCTACAGCGCAGCCAGTGTCTGCAGCCCGTCCCGGTGAGACCAGGGCGTGCGGGGAAACGAGTGGATTTGTAATCTGTGCTGATTCATTGATTATTATCTCATGTCCAGTTTTACAACAATCTGTCATGCAGTAGACTGATAAATTTGCATTGATTAACTTGCAACAATCCACATTAACTAATGTAACCATCTGCAGTAGTTAAATCCAGTATTATGTATTGGTTAAAATACAATCATATTTAGCTGTGCAATAATTTGCATTGATTAATATGACGACTCAAATTTTCAAGCAATTTCCAGGATGTTAAAACGTCCCAAATATTTATTTGTGAAGTATAACCTTGTAGGAGATACAATGACCAAATTGTCACTGCAAGCTCCTGCAGTCAGCAGCCTGCTAACAACTGAATAGTCTCTTTGTGGCATCGATTGAGGAACGAATACTTCCCAGGACACCAGCGCGAATTAGCCAGCTGTTTTACGAGGAGTGTTAAAGGATATTTTGTGGACACATGAGGCTTTGATTTAACAGTTCTTAAAGTCAGCGCTTCTAACAGTGTAGCATGGTATTGATGAAGTACAACATGCTAGAATGTAATCTGCAATGAATAAGTTGCATTAATGAATTGCAGTGATTAATTTGAATGATCTACAATGTATAATATGCAGCAAAAATATTTGAAGATTTGTCTATACCTCATACTGTTCGCAGTTTCTGGTGTACTGCGCTTTGGGCCTATATTGAGGTTTCCCAGTATTATTATGAGGATCTAGTGTAGGCAGTTAATTTTATATTGATCAGTAATTTTCATATTTTCCTTCTACTCCTTAGGGCAGCTTTGCTGACAGGCCGCTACCCCACTCGGTCAGGGGTTTATCCAGGCGTTTTCTATCCTTCGTCAAAGGGTGGTCTTCCACTAAATGAAACCACCATCGCTGAACTGCTGAAACAGCAAGGATACAAAACAGCAATGGTGGGTAAGTGGCATTTGGGCTATGGGCTCAATGGGAGCTACTTACCCATCCATCAGGGTTTTGATGAATTCTTGGGCATCCCCTACTCCCATGATCAGGGGCCCTGCCAGAACTTGACTTGTTTCCCACCAGACACCAAGTGCTACGGAAAGTGTGACCAAGGTGTGGTCCTTATGCCCGTGTTCAAGGATGACAAGATTATCCAGCAGCCGGTCTACTTTCCCAAGCTCACTCAACTGTATGATAACTTTGCAAGACACTTCATTCTGAAAGCAGCAAAGCAGCAGAAACCATTCTTCCTTTACTATGCATCACATGTGAGTACGGCATCTCCGTGGTACTTTGGCAAAATTTCACCTTGACCTGATATAATGCACCAACATTTCAAAGTTAAAATTATCATCCTCTTATTCAAATCTTTCTCTGGCCTTGCCGCTCCTAACCTACCTTATTGCAGTCTGCCAAATTCTGGTCTTTTACTTAAGTCTAACTTACATATCTCAATCACTGCAGGCTATCCTTCAACTGATTAGCCCCTAAGGTCTGGGCTTTCCTTCCTAAACTCCTCTATCTCTCTAACACTTTCTCCTCCTTTGTGAAACTTCTTAAAACTAAGCTTTTAGTCCTTTTTTTTAAATTCAATCATGGGATGCAGATGTTACCAGCAAGGCCACTATTTATTTCTCATCCCTAATTGCCCTTGAGAAGGTGGCCGTTCTTCAAACTGTGTAGCCTTGTAGTGTAGGGCCAGTTTTAGTGCCAAAATGCAACATTCACAGTTGATGTGACAGTGTAGAAATATATCGATGTGGTGAGGCCTTAGCTTCTGACAGTGGTCGGAGGGATAACTGAACAAATTCAAAAATTGAGACTACGCGATAATGTTCCCACTTGCAACCACTGGTCATAATGTTGTTCTGAAATGTTGCTCTTGAATGCTCTGTACTCCTCACTAGTCTTTCTGACTTGGACAACTCCTTCTCTAATGGACAGTTCCCTTTGCTCTGCTTTGATGATTTGCATCAGATGCTCATGGACTTAGCGATAGATTCTTCCAAAAGGCATTGCACAGGGAGCTGACACAAATAAGATTCATGAATGTGTAGAAACCACCTTTTACTAATTCCTAATGTTCTGTTTTTCTTTGTAGCATACCCACTATCCCCAATTTGCTAGTGCTGGTTTCACAGGGAAGTCCAAGAGGGGCCCTCTGGGAGATGCACTGATGGAATTTGACGCTTCGGTGGGGGTGATATTAAATGCTATACGAGATGCTGGAGTGGAGAATAATACTCTTATCTTCTTCACTAGTGACAATGGGTATGATGAATTAGAGATATTCAGATTCTTTGTTATCTGTGATTGAGATTTGTTAAAACAATGTTTTCAGTTCTATTTAATCATCCCTGAGTGGTACTGCCACTTATTTTCCATTTGTAATTGCTGGAAAAGGTGGAGGTGGATCTTCTCCTTAAATCACTGCATTCCAACTATTTGATGCAGATGACGTCTTGCTGGGCCATTTTGGAGGGTAATTGACAGTCAGTAGCACTTTTGTGGAACATGTAGTCCAGCTTAAGCAAGTACAGCAGATTTCCTTTTCTAAAGTACCCCAGTATTGAGACACATTGATTGGATTTTTACATTCATCCAACATCCTTCTGGGCTGTTTTTACTTGGATTAGATTTTTATTTCTTTTCTTTATTGAACTGAATTTGAATTCACAACTAACAAGGTAAGGTTTTATGCCACATTCTTTGGATCATAATCCCAGTAAAATAACCAGAGCATTACCATGTTCTATTACTGCTCTGGGTCTGCAAGTGTGAGTTACTGGTGTGCTAAGTTGGAAGTCAGCATTCGGAATTTTCACACTTCCCTTGGAGGATGTTGTGAAGTAGTGTAAGGGTTTGTACACTGATTCAGAGTGTATTATACTGTCCGTTAAAGCTCTTTCCATGGCCAGAACTATATGTTGATGGAATCACGAAAAGTGGGGATAGTTAATCCTGTATGGTGGAAGAGTATTGTGGGCAGCTGACCTCCAAAAGAGGATATCATTCACACTAGTAGAAGGTGACCCTCACAGAATTCTGTACTGAAATCCTGCTGTCTGTGGAATTCTCTAGAACATTGCACCTTCTGGCTCCAAAGCTACCACTGACTGAAACCTTGCTACATGTGTGAGAAATACACAGTATAAATAGGACGCCTGTCATGGACTCAGCCACCACCATGCACCACACTGTATTATTGAGACACACAGATCAGTAAGCTCCTGTTGAAAATCTTCCATGCCAATCACATAATATTCTTTACCTTAAAATTTTACATACTTATTAGTAACAATGGTTGTATGTCACCAGTTGATGAAAGTGTCAAGGACCCAGTAATTTAAGAGCATTAGGATAGGCACCAAAGGTGACCTAAAGAAACAGTCAAATACACAGCAACCGGTTAGGATCTGGATGTACTGCCTGAGAGGGAAGGGAGGCAGGTTCAGTTATGGCTTCAGAAGGATGAGCTCCTGAAGAAGAGATATTTTCAGGGCTTCGGGGAAAGGTCCAAGGAGCAAGGCTAGCTAAATTACTCTTGAGGAGATTCACCATAGACTCAATGGAATAAATTGCCCCTCTCTGTGCTATAATTATTATCAGATCTTTGTATGTATAAATATGACAGCTACTTTCTGCTGGGCTGCACTAAATCTTGGTAACCCAGCACTGGTAATCTGTTAACTTTAATTGGATTGTTTATCACTGGGAGGAAGCTTTCGTCCATTTGAAATGACTGACCAGTCTCAACCCAGTTCCTAGCAAGCTCATGTTCAGAGCAATGTGAGACATCAGAAACATCAGACCAGTGTAGAGGGAGGCAGCTTTACCCTGATGTAACTTGTAATGCATCTGGCCTGCTTGTGTTTGATTGGGGTTGGGGGGGTGCGGTGTTGTGTAGATAGAACTTTAGTCATTTATCTGACACCAGGTGCAAGAGGTGCAAAAACCATTGAGTTTCCCAAAGCATTATTGTCTCCTTTTTAACATGTTATTGAGAGACCAAGAAGCTGCACTTAATTGACTTGCTATATTGTTTTCAGCCCGGAGCTGAGGCGACAGTCGCGTGGCGGGAATGCAGGGCTGTTGAAGTGTGGCAAAGGCACAACATACGATGGGGGAATGAGGGAACCTGCTATTGCCTATTGGCCTGGTCGGATCACTCCAGGTTTGTGACTATGCAACTGCCTAAGTATCATTTAAGCTCCAAGCACAAAAATGTAATTTTGCTGTTAACCCAAGGCTGTAAAAACCATACACTAATTGGGATTCCACTCAATTATAGACCAGTCCACTGGACACAACATTAAGGAAAACCCTGAACTGATGCTGCCTGACCTGCTGTGATCTCCAGCGTTTTTTGCTTTCAGTTCAGATTCCAGCATCTGCAGTAATTTGCTCCTACATTAAGGAAAGCCCTGATACTTGTTCTGTGGTTGATCTACACCTCAACTCTATTTACTGTTTTTGCACCGTATCCCTCAATATGCAACAAATATCAGTTGATTTCAATTTCAGTTGTATACCCAACATCCACAGCACTTTTGGGGGGAGAGAATTGAAGAATTCCATCACCCTTTGTGTTTAAAAAGTGTTTCCGAATTTAATTCCTTAATGATTTGGCTCTAATTTTAAGATTACATGCCATTGTTCTGGTCTCTTCCGACATTGGAAGTAAGTTTTCTGTCAACCTTATCAACTTCTATCAAGTTGATGCCGTTGATTACATTTCCCCATATAATCTGACCATTGCTTCTTTCTTTGGAAACATCCTCTTTTGTTTAGAAACTGGAAGTGCACTTATACTGAATTTCTTTCTACATAGAGATGGTATTCAGACTGTTTTAACTATGGAGGGTAGGACTAACATTGTTGAAATTAAACATTGTTGCAGAAATGGTGCCATTCAGGATTAATACATGATATGTCATGTTTCGAATAATATTCTTGCTCTGTTTACAGGTGTAACCCATGAGCTGGCCAGCACCCTGGACATCCTTCCGACAATTGCCAGCCTCTCCGGTGCAAAGCCTCCACAGGTCAAGCTGGATGGATATGACATGAGTGATATCCTCTTCAATAATGGCAAGGTGCAGATTGTCACATTCTAGGACTTTGACTCATCACTATCTAGCTGCCAGTCTGTGCCTGTTTGTTTCTTTTAATCTATCTTGGCCTGCCTCTTGTTCTCTATCAATCTGCCTGTCCCTCCATCTGCCTCTGCCTCTGCCTCTGTCTCTGTCTTTGATATATGATCTACAGTAAAGTATAAGAGACACAATATTACCATTTGCAGATGTCATAAAAAGAAAGGTATGTGATACAAAGGAGGACTGTAAAGTACTGCTGATAGTTGGGCAGAAACATCATATGACATTTAATATAGAGGAACAGGGAAGTGATACATCTTGAAGCAATGCGTATGGAGAAAGGTGTACCTGAAGTTATAAATCTTTAATTGAAGCAGAGAAACGTAAATCTGTAGGAAAGTAAGGAGGCAAGTTACTGAAATGATTAAATTTAAAAAATGGAATCCTAGGTTTTATGTGTGACTGAACCAAAGACATCATTGTTCAACAATGATAACGAATAATAATAATTTAGTTACAGTGAGAGACAAGATAAACTTTTTTAACAAGGTTTTGATGAAATGAGGAATGATTATTCCCACTTGCCAGTGAGTAACTAGAAGGTATTAGTTTAAAATCATGATCAAAAGAACAAAGGCAGAGGTTCAGAGAAATGCTTTTGGGCAAAGCTTTGATAATTTACGGGCTGCTTGACCTCAAATTGTGAGGAAAGAGGAAAGCAGAATAAACGTTGAAAGTGAAGGAAAATATTTGAAGATGAAGAATGCAAAAATGGTCTGGGCAAAGAGCAGAGGAGCAAGAGTTCACTGTGTCAATAAAGATGCAGTGGGCTGAATATCCCCTTTCACTTTAAAGTTTTCTGACCCTGTGCCTCAGCATTCAACTCCAACTTTAGCAAGTCATTTTGCATTTACTACACCTGAGTGTTATTGCTGGCTGGTTGGGAGACAATGGGGCAGTTCTTTGTGGTAGAAATTGGCCTGAGGGAAGAAAAGTTGGCCTATCACTGACACATTGGCGATATGAACTGCATTCCAAACTTGTGGATCAATCATTTGTAGGTGGTTCCCAGCTTGAAAATTGATGATTGATTGGAAAGCCGGTTGATGTGGAGATGATTTGAACCCACCAGGAAAGGTGTAATTTGCAGAGTGAGGTTTTGTGCTGAAATCTCTGGACCGGGACTGAGAGGTAAAATTGTTATCATGAGCCACATTGTATGGACAGTAGCTCAGTTTTATGCCTGTACACTGAACAGATTCTAACCAGGGAGGGGAGAGAGGCATCTTTTTAGGTGCATTTTAAATTTTTATATTTAAAACTTACTGTTTCATGAGTGTTGCCAGGTCTTCGCATAAGAAGGTGGGTTGGGGTTAGATGTCTATCTTTGTGTTATTTGTGTGATCTTGCTGTGTGTAGATTGGATTTTGGGTTTCCTCCATTGCAATGGTAAATGCACTTCCATATGATGTATTGAGTACCTCAGAGCTATTCCTGAGGTAGTAAAAGCAGCAATGTAAATGCAGTTTAATCTTTCTCATTACAAGGGAGATCACTTCCCACTTCCCTCACAATTTGTGGTCGAGCCAGTTATAACTTACCAGCCCAGTGCATAAAAACATTTCTGTTAACGCCTACCTTTGTTCTCTTGCTGATGACAAACAGTTGAGCCATCTACTAACACACTGATTATCTTCAGAGGGTCGCATGTGTTTCAGTGCCAGTGCTGAGTGCCTCTACAGATAATGCATCAGCAGCAGGGCAGCTGGAACACCGTGCAATCAGAGCTAGTGCTGGCGATTGGAAGGCAAAGGAATTCTGTGCCTCAACCTGCAGTCTGGGTAGAAGGAATTACTTCTTATTTCCGTCTGCTGTATGTTCTCAACAACAATCCTTTGTGTACATTGTTTCTTTATAGAGCAAGCGGAAGACCATGTTTTACTATCCAGTCACCCCCAGTGAAAAACTGGGAGTTTTTGCTGTGCGTTATGGAAAGTACAAGGCTCATTACTACACTCAAGGTAAGAAAGCACGTAATCACGTTCGAGTCTATAGAGCTGCTCCTGGTTGTCAGAAAGTGAGAGGCTAAGGGACAATAGTGCAAATTGTGCAGCTGAGTGTATAAAACAAAGACTGGCATCAAGTGAATGAGAAGAAGAGAGAGCTGCGGAGTGGGAGATGGTGGAAGTTGCTGTGAGAGAGCGTTGAGAAAGAGAGGTAATGAGTGAAAGAGAGAGAGGCACTGAGTGAGTTTGAGAGAACAGCCAAGTGAGAGAGTGAGATGCCAAATGAGTGAATACAAGAGGGACCATGTGATGGAGAGGCACCGAGAGAGCCACATTTATGGGATGTGGGCAGCACTGGCTGGGCCAGCATTTTAAATGCCACCTACATTTATCCGAGAAGGTGATCTGCCTTCTTGAACCACTGGAGTCCATTTGGTGTAGACAGACCCACATTGACATTAGGAAGGGAATTCCAGGATTTTGATCCTGTGACACTGAAGGAATGGTGATATATTTCCAAGGATGGTGAGTGGTTTTGAGGAGAACTTGCTGATGATGGTGTCCCATGTAAGTGTTGCCCTTGTCCTTTTAGATGGTAGTGGTTGTGAGTTTGGAAGATGCTTGGTGGTGCACTGCATCTTGTAGATGATATGTACTGTTGCTTCTAAACATTGGTGATAGGGTAAATGGATGAGGGACCAATGAAGTGGGCTGCTTTGTCCTGGATGGTGTCAAGCTTCTTGAGTGTTGTTGGAACTGCAATCATCCAGGCAAGTCGGGTACTTGTCTTTTTAAATGATGAACAGGCTTTGGGAAGCCAGAAGGTGAGTTACTCACTAAAGAATTCCTAGCCATTGACCTGCTCACAGTTAATAAAGCACAGTTTCCTGGGCTTTATTAATAGGGACAGAGAGTACAAGAGGAAGGAAGTGATCTGAACTTGTAAAAGACATTTCTCAAACACTGTGTACAATTCTGGGTGCCACATTATAAGAAGAATGTGTATAGCAATAGAGACAGTGCAGAAATGGTTCACGAGAATGGTCCGAGGGATACGTTGGAGAGGTTGGGACTGTTTTCCTTGAAGTTCTAATTGAGGTTTTCAAAATCATGAGGGAATGGATAGAGTAAATGAGGGGAAACTGCTCCCTCTCGTAAAAGGATCAAGAACAAGAAGATAGAGACTTAAAATGAATTGCAAAAGAATCAAGTATGATGTGACAAATGAATACTTCCCACGCAATTAATGCTTCTGGTCTGGAAAGGGCTGTCCAGAAATGTGGGAGCAGATTCAACTGATGCACTCAGAATGGCTTGGATGAATGTTTTTATTCAAATGACATGTAAGGGTATGGGGAAAACACACGAGAATAGCAGAAGTCTTGATACTTATTTAGAGGCACAACTGAGTCGAATGGGTCCCGTAGGTGCCGTATCACAGCTGTAATTCTGGATGAGTGAATTACAGAGAGAAGTGCCGAGAGAAAGATGCCAAGAAGAAGCACCAAGCCTGTGAGTGAAATTTGATTCAATTTGATTTATTGTTGTCACCCCATGTACCAAAGTACAAAGTTTTGTTTTGTGAGCAGTACAGGCAGAAAATACACATCGAGTGACTAAGTGAGAATGAGAGAGAACGGTTCTGGGTAGGGGAGAAGGAGGCACCAAGTGAATGAGTGAGAGATAGAAAGAAGGGAGTCTTGTGTCCTGTGAGTAATGAGGAGAGAGAGGTGTCAAGTGAATGTGAGGGAAGGGGTGAGGGGGGAAGAGAGAGGTGCCAAGTGACTGAGTGGGGAGAGGGGGAGACAGGTGTGTCAAGAAAGCAAACCAGCATGTGAGCAAGGCACTGAGAAGCACAGAGAGGGCAGGAGGCACTGTTTGTAAACCTGGCATTAAGTGAAGGCAAGACACTGAAGGTGAATGGCTCTTTGAATGTAACAATTTAAGTTTTTTAGGCATGAAAGTATGAACTTGCTAGTCTTAAAATGTGTACAGGTGGATAAATCCTGGGGACGTGATCAGGTGTACCCTAAAACTCTGTGAGAAGCTAGGGAAGTGTTTGCTGGGCCCCATGCTGAGATATTTGTGTTATCGGAAGCCACAGGTGAGGTGCCAGAAGACTAGAGGTTGGCTAATGTGGTGCCACTATTTAAGAAAGGTGGTAAGGAAAGCCAGGGAAGTATAGACCAGTGAGCTTGAAATCAGTGGTGGGTAAGTCGTTGGAGGGAATCCTGAGGGCCAGGATTTACATGTATTTGGAAAGGCAAGGAGTGATTAGGGATAGTCAACACAGCTTCATGTGTGGGAAATCATGTCTCACTAACTTGATTGGGTATTCGACGAAGTAACAAAGAGGATTGATGAGGGCAGAGCAGTAGACGTGATCTATACTCATGGTAGACTGGATGGCAAGGTTAGATCACACGAAATAGAGGGCGAACTAGCTATTTGGATACAGAACTGACTTGAAGGTAGAAGACAGAGGCTGGAGTCGAAGGGTTGCTTTTCAGACCTGAGGCCTGTGACCAGCAATGTGTCACAAGGATCAGTGCTGGGTCCACTGCTTTTTGTCATTTATATAAATGATTTGGATGTGAACATAGGAGGTACAGTTAGTAATTTTGCAGATGACACCAAAATCAATGGCATTGTGGACAACCAAGAAGGTTACTTCAGAGTACAGCGGGACTTTGATCGGATGGGGCAGTGGGCCGAGAAGTGGCAGTTGGAGTTTAATTTAGTGGCATGGTGGCTCAGTGGTTAGCACTGCTGCCTCACAGCGTCAGAGACTCGGGTTCAATTCCACTCTGGGGCAACTGTCTGTGTGCAGTTTGCACATTCTCCTAGTGTCTATGTGCATTTCCGTTGGGTGCTCCGGTTCCTCCCACAGTCCAAATATGTGCAGGTTAGGTGGTTTGGCCATGCTAAATTGCTCATAGTATCCAAGGATGTGTAAGTTAGGTGGATTAGCCATGGGAATTGCAAGGTTACAGGAAAAGAGTAGGGGGTTGGGTCTGGGTGGGATGCTCTTCGGAGGGGTGGTGTGGACTTGTTGGGCCAAATGGCCTGTTTCCACACTTGTAGGGATTCTGTGATGTAAGATAAATGTGAGGTGCTGCATTTTGGAAAGGCAAATCAGAGCAGGACTTGTATACTTAATGGTAAGGTCCTGGGGAGTGTTGCTGATAAGGAGACCTTGGAGTGCAAGTTCATAGATCCTTGAAAGTGGAGTTGTAGGTAGATAGGTAGTGAAGAAAGCTTTCTTTTATTGGTCAGTGCTTTGAGTATAGGAGTTAGGAGGTCATCTTGTGGCTGTATAGGACATTGGTTAGGCCACTATTGGAATACTGCAATCCTGGTCTTCCTGCTATAGGAAGAATGTTGTGAACCTTGAAAGGGTTCAGAAAAGATTTACAAGGATGTTGCCAGGGTTGGAGGGTTTGAGCTTTATGGCAAGACTGAATAGACTGGGACTATTTTCCCTGGAGCATCAGAGGCTGAGGGGTGACCTTATTGAGGTTTATAAAATCATGAGGGGCATGGATAGGGTAAATAGACAAGGTCCTTTCCCTGGGATGGGGGAGTCCAAAACTAAAGGGCACAGGTTTTAGGTGAGAGGGAAAGATTTAGAGGGAGCTAAGAGGCAACTTTTTCATGCAGAGGGTGGTGCATGTATGGAATGAGCTTCCAGAGGAAGTGGTGGAGGCTGGAATAATTACAACATTTAAAAGGCCTCTGGATGGGTATATGTATAGAAAAAGTTTAGAGGGATATGGGCCAAATGCTGGTAAATGGGACTGGATATATTTAGGATATCTGGTCAGCATGGATGAGTTGGACCGAAGGGTCTGTTTCCATTCTGTATATTTCTATGCTATTAATGTACAAGCCATAGTATGATAGACCATTCAGACAGTTTATTATAGTATCTGAAGGAAGGTTTTAACAAAGATTTTCATTCCTGATTGTTAGGTTCCATTCTCAGTGATACCAGCCCAGATGAGTCCTGCCACTGGACTGCACCGATCACGCGTCACATACCTCCTCTGCTCTTTGACTTAGAGGCAGATCCTTCTGAGAACTATCATCTCAGCTGCTATGAGCTTCCCACTTTCACCTCGATAATCGAACAGATCCAGAAAGAAACAATCAAACTTGAGTCTGGAATGGAGTTTGGAGAAAGCCAAATGGAGAGGGGATTTGACCCTGAACTTGAGCCTTGTATTAAACCTGGTTGCAAGCCACGACCTCAGTGCTGTCAACAGACTTAGCCTGGAAGAAGGAAGGAAAGCAAAATACAACCTAGCAATTGTATTACTAACACTTTCTAATCTCATGCTGAAGCTATCCCCTGCGGCTGATTTGGAACAGGGAGAAAACTCCAGCAGAGTCCTGGCTGCCTAGAATCTGTGGTTAAATCTTTGGGTGCACATGTGTAATTGAGGATGAAGTAAAGAGCTTCACATCCTTGTCAGGAAGGAAATTCCCAGTAAAGATGAGTCTTGTTTCGTGGTCCTGTTAAAAATTAAATCATTGCAGTGAATTTTATTAATCACAGCTTCCTCACTATTTATTTGTTTGGCCAGTTGACACTATAATACTGCAATCCTAATCTCCAAGTCTCCCATTCTACCCACTCTGCCTGTGATCCTCACTTCTTTAAAATTGAGATGCAAAATAATTTAAACTGATTTTTCTTTTAAAAAAACCTCAAAACTATAAAATTCTTCCCCTCATTTATCTCTTCTTCTCCCGATAACTTGCTGGCTTTCAAAAAATCATCTAATCAATATTTTACTTCATCTTCTCAAGTTCATGCATCCGTCTTGGTCTTGGGTAAGGGTACTCTTGCTTTTCCTCTGGAGTGTTATGATCTTGGACCAGACTGCCATTCTTATATTATGATCTTGCTAAGAATTAGTAACTTTTTCTTTAAAGTGGACAAAAGTGTGACATCCCAGGTCCTTACTAAAGGAATAATAATGCAAGATCCCAAAGTTTTATTCAAACAACAAGCATTACTCTATAAACTTAGAACAATAATACAATCCACAATATATATACAATTTTTATTCTAACATGAAGCATTAACCTGAGTTAAATATGGTTCACGGACAAACCCTATAGAAGTATCAAATAGCAAATATGTGCAAGACAGATCCCATCGATTTCTTAGCAACCTCCCTGGACATTGATAGTCAGTCATCAAATCTCTTTAAAATTTAAACATTCTTAAAATCGTAGAATCCCTACAGTGTGGAAGCAGGCTATTTGGCCCATCGAGGTCACACCGACCCTCTGAAGAGCATCCCACCCAAACCGACCCTGTCCCCACGACCCTACATTCCCTGTGGCTAATCCACCTAGCCTGCACATCTTTGGACTGTGGGAGGAAGCCAGAACACCTAGAGGAAACCCACGCAGACACGGGGAGAAGGTGCAAACTCCACACAGTCGCCTGAGGATGGAATCAAATCTGAATCCGTGGCACTGTGAGGCAGCAGTGCTAACCACTGAGCCAGCATGCACCCCCCCCAACTTTTTTTTTTTTGAAAAAGACTGAGCTTAGAATTCCCTCAAAAAAAAGACCTGCTGTCAAAATTTGTCTCAATGACTGCTAACTTCTGGTGGTTCACATTTTTCTGAACCCATTATCCCCTTAATTCTGGAAACTGGATTCCAACACTCTGGCACAATTTGATTTATTCATTGCTTCACCTAGCCAGTCTTGCTCGTATTTCTCTGTGCTCTAATCATCTTGTTCAGTTACACAAAATGAATACCGTGCGTATATCTTCACGCTCAGTTGCACTGAACTATTAACGGAACTTAGCTTCTTGCAAACTTCCATGGCTCCTGGAATTCTCCTGAACCCTGACCTCAGTGCTTAGCTGCACCAGCTGGCTCCCTGGACTTCTGCCAAGTCCTAACTGGTTGAAGCCTGCTACTGAAGCACCTTTTCAGGTTGGAGCCTGCTCCTAAGTACCTGAATATCAACCCAAAAGTAGCAACGTTCTCCTCTGACTTCCGTCCAACTTTTTGAACGTTTCTGAGTGACCTATTGAAAACACAGCACAATCTGTGCCCTTCAGTATTGACTATAGCTAATATTTGGGAACACTCAAATGTAACAACAATTTGGAACTACCTGCTTCCTGAATGTTACAATATTTGCAGATTGCTGGCTTGCACAGTATAGAAAGGGTACAAAAAGATTCCATCACAGGAGAGAAAAGAACTAAGAACAGGAAGAACCCATTCAGCCACTTTGAACCTGTTTGCTATGCTCTTTGGTCATTGTCAATCTGTGTGTCAATTCCATTTATCTAACTTTGCCCTAATATCCATTAACAGCCTTCAGCAACAGAAACCTATCACTCTCAATCTCGAAAGATTGAATTGACCACCATCATGGGGAAGAGTTCCAAATTTGCACTAGTGTTTGTATGAAGGAAGGTTTTCTTTCCTCCCCACACTGCACAAAATTTTCTTTATTTACATTATATAATTACTTTAAGAATCTTAGATCATCCCCTCAGCCCTCTGAACTAAAGTGAATCCAGAGCAGAGAGTGTAATATTTTAGAAATCCATCAATGTAGACAGCAATCAAATCTTGTATATCTAAGCAATTATCAGTGTGTTTTACTGGATATAGATTTTATAAGAGTTTTCTGGTGTTCGGTTTAAGGTGCTACAGCGTGTGCTACACTGCCAGGAGTATTCCAGTGATTCTGGTGATCTCTTATGAAACAAGATGCAATTTGTAAAATTAACTCTAATTGATTATATCACTGTGACAGCAAAGTTTAAAATGTCTGAAGAGAGTATGAACTGCACTAATTTATCACTGTTGTATGTATGCTTAGGATGTAATAAATAAATGTATCTATATGGAGATGAATTTAACTCAAATTATTTTTGTAAGCTGCTATGTGGCAGATTCTTGAATGAATGGGAGCTCCCCTATTTGACTTGATGAATGTGAAACTGAGACCTGGTTTAGGTTCGACTCCAGCTTTGCTGGAAGTTCAGGTCTTACCCATCAGGTGTGCAAGTGTGTCCTTTGGTGCCGGTCTACAGAGGGTTCTTGCTTCTAACCCCTGTCCACAAAATTTGGGAACACACCAGTATGAGCATCAAATGAAGAGCACTCCTCACTGACCTCTCCCTAACCTGCTGATACTTGAAAAATAGCTAAATGGAGAGTGAACTCCTACAGCATTATTCATCAGCTTTAGGAAGATGATCAACTGTCCCAGCATTGTATTAGGAATAATCTGGAGAAGTAGTCCTGCTCAGGAGTCTAGAAAATGTATTGGACTCCTTCCAAAGAGCTCTGGTTCCAAACAATCACTCACGTTTGCAGTGTCATATCAATTTTTTAATTGTTCCCTGAGTCCAGACATCATATCCCTATCACTAAGTACCCTGAGAAATTGGTGGTGAGCTAATCGGGATTGTTGCAGTCACATAAACCAGTGCTTTTGCTGTGATTTTGGCAAGAAAACCTAAAGTATTAACACTTCACTGACTTTATGGCCCCACTGTTGAAATTGAATGGCTATTAAAGAAGTTGATGGTTAGGCTGAGAACACTCCCCTGAGGAACTTTCAAGCAAATATAACCATCTTCCTTTGTTCACTTTGACTCCAGTCTTTGGTGCTTTCCCTTTGACTCATATTTTACTAATCCCTATTGGTTACAAGACTAGGTCATTTCATGCTTTGATGTCAGGGGCAGCTACTCTCAATAGGTAATCATCCTCACCACTGACTATTAGCCAAATATTTCGAGCAGAACCAGAACTAGACATCAGTAACTTGGTTTCACTTGAGGCTTATTACCTGGTTCAGATGTCTCCTGTATTTTGAAAGTAGGTTATATCTGATCAGTTTTCCACAATGTTGAATATGTGCTTTGAAATGACACTGGAGCATGTGCATACTAGCCAAAGTCTTGGCCTACAAAGTGTCAGTTTGGTTCAATAGGTAGGATTCTGATTTAGAAGAATATGGGTTGAAACCACACTCCGGAAAGCCAGGCTGACACCAAGCCACATGCACACACCACCCACCAGCACCACCACCACCCCCCCCCACACCCCCCCGCCCAGTGTAGTACTGACAGGAGACTGTAACGGGGATTCAGATGAAAAGTTACTGCATGTTGAAGATCTGATAATGTTATTTTAAAGGTAAGATTTTCTCCCAATGTATATGACAGTTTTGATTGCCTGACCAATACCACCATGGCACCAAAAATGCCATGTCAAAGCCCATATAAAAGTAATACAGGAGTGTTGTGCCTGTAAATTTCATCCATCTGAAGATTTCTGTGTATCCATGACAGGAGATAATAGACAACAGTACAAAACTATTAGGTCCAATGAGTTTGCGATATCTGATGGATTCTGGTCTTGCCTTCCTTCAAAACAAACTGCCCCTTAAGCCTATTTACTCTGTCTGCTTTCCTATCCATTTCCAGACAAGGTACCCCACAACTTGATCTCCTTTGAATATTTCCGTCCCTTGATTCTCATTGATACAGGTAACCCAAGGAATTTGAAGGTAGCCAATATAGGAACAATTTGCCTGGATCAAGTTGTATCAACTTCCTTGAAACACCTAAAAGTTTAAGATTAACCATGGACAGTGTATAAACTGTTGGTATATGGTCTGCATCAGTTTGGAGCTTAGAATTGCGTGGAACTGATAAAGTGGACTAGTGACCCTATTTGCACTCTGCTCCCAACTGCCTGTGAATTTGGCCAGCTTTGGGGATTTTTACTGGCACTAGTAGGATGTTTCTGAAGGCAGCAGGTGGAGTGCTTAATATATGTGGAGGGTGTTGTTTGAGTGTGAGAACCTCACCAGAATTCTAACCCCACTGCTATATGTCTTGGAGGATTCCAAGCAGAGACAAACAAGTGAATGCCAAACTTGCCAATTTCAAAATAAGGTATGAGCTTCCTTGTTTGATAATCAATGATCTCCTGATGACAGGTGGTTGGAACTGTCCCTCACCTAACCACAAACCCTGCACTCAAATCCACAGCCCCAGAAAATACACCTGTTTCAATGATTTCATGCTGAATTTACTGGGCTCATTCATTCATATTCTACACCTCTCCACAATTTCTTTCCAGCTTCAATATATGTTGATCTAGTCCTCCCAGCAGCCAGTTACTGAAAGCATTTTGAGGATAAAGTTCAACAGAATTCTTCATTCCTCTCTCAAGTTGATTTCATTTGATAATGAAACTTGACTATCCAGAGTTGGGTGGGGTAGCAGACAGAAAATACATCTATTTATATAGTCCCCAACCATAACGAATTCAGACATGGGAACTGTCTGTTCAGACAGAGGAGACTGTTCAGCTCCTCATCACTGGTCTACTATCAGTTAGTTGTTTATGGTATACTATTTTATGGTGTTTTGGTGTAGTTATTCTAATCAACCTGTTCAGACATACTGTGACACCTCCAGGGTATGTGGGACTTACACCTGGATCTTCTGGCTCAGAGGTAGGGACATTACCACTGCAGCAGTACTACCCCAGTTAGTACTTTATGGTCAATTTGTATTTCAACCAGCCCTTAATGCACTTGACTAACAAAGGGTATCAATCTCAATTTTGAAATGTTCAATTGCCTATCAGCACCACAACTCTTTGAGTGTTGACTTTGCAAATTTGTATTACTCTGAGGAGGACATGCTTCTTGATATCAGCCTTGAATGGTCTAGTTCTAATATTGAGGTAAGAATGCCTTAGAATGGACTTCTCAACCTAAAGAAATTGTTCCTCTCTCTAACCTATCAAGTGTTATAATCTTCTTAAAAACCTCTTCAGCTGCATTCAAGGGAATCCAAGGCTTGACGTTACAACCTGGCCTCATTCCATCGAGTTTGATGCATCCCCTCTAAGACCAATATGTATTTCCTGAGGTGTGGTCCCCAGTATAAATGCAGTGGCCCAGATAGAATCCAACTAGTGCTCAGTACAGCTATACTGTAACTTCCATGCCTTTGTATTTCAATTCTCTTGAAATATGACAGGTATTTTATTACCCATTAAAATTAGTTTGCTATCAGTATTTGGACCTATTAATCCTTACACACCTCCACAGTTTCATATTTCTCACTGTTTAACCAGTTATTTGATCTCTCCTTTTAGCATCCAAAGATTTATGATCTCACACTTCACCACACCAAAGCTGCCACATTTTTGGCCGCTTACTTAGACCAACGTTATCTTTTCACAACTCTCTGCTCCCATCTTCAGTACTCCTGGCACAAGCTATTGAATCTATGATTCCATGTACAGTGCCACCTAAACAAGCAGCATTAAATGCAATGAATGAAGCAGAATTAGTGACGCAGTCCAATTAGCTAACTCTTAATTCATCTGTTTGAACAAAATAGCATGAAACCCAAACAAAT